ATTCACGGCTTGCTCTTTGAGAAGAATATTCACCTATTATATCTCCCTCTGCTGCTGTATGGCCACCAATATTTCCACGAAATTCGATTTCAAACTTAAAAATTTTTATAGAAAAATCCAATTCTGGGCAATTATAGGCATTAAAGAAATTCAGTTAATGATAGATTTTTTCAATACCTTTGTTGCACATACAAAACAGGCAGTAACGAGCTTGGCTATTTCATTCATTAATCGTTTTGTCTCAGAAATGACCGCATCAACCTCAAATAAAATTTGTTTTTTTTAGTTTTAAATTCAATTATATACTTTATTAAAGGTTGCTGTCTTCCCAACAGTCGGACTTTTAACTAAAACTTGTAATTGCTGACAATGAACAGGGATTTTTTCTAAAATTTGTAATAAATCATTCTTTTCTGCACTTCCAGGAACCTTTAAAATTATATAAGTTGGTTTGATAATTTTTCAATAAAACTTCAAACGCAAATTCTTTGACAGTTTTATGCATTTTATTAGCTTGTTCTGCAAAAAATTCTGCTTGAGTAAACAAATCGTGGGTTGTTTTTAAAGGGCCATCTCCTTTGGTGAATAAATACATGTTGTAAGACATAGCTGACATTGTCTGGGAAAATTATCAGAATTTAAGAAATTCAAAAATATTCTTTCTTATTAAGCAAAATCTGAACATAGATCTCACCTTTGCTCTTTTAACAATATCATTCTCCGCATATTTATCCCAATTTTCGGCTTCAGCTTCCATTTCGTCTGTTAATAGCTTCATTTCTAACCCAACTTTAGCAATTTTTTGGTGGTCTTCCAAGTCGAGAGTTATTGGTTTTGTAGGTTTGAAGGTCGTTCCATGCCTCTGAACCGTTGTTATATTTTATTTAAAAAATATCTCTTACATATCTTATTTTTCAACAAAAGTTGGATTCTATTTTAGGGTGGGGCTTTAGTTTATACATAAAATACATTAATTTAATTCACCTATCTCTCCTAGATTAAGAAATTTTAAAATCAAACTTAACACAAACACAAGAAGACTTAAAATAATATACAATATTTAAAAACAAAATTTAACTTAAGTTATAAATAAAACAAAAAATGAAGCCGGATCAGCAAAACAAGTTCAAAATAAAACTAAAATAGGTAGATTTCAAGTTAGAGTTTTGACAACACAACCAAAACTAAAGTTAAAAATAAATAAAACACATTAAACTTAAATTTATATTAATAAAACACAAAAGCTTAAGTTCAAAACAAATAAAATACTACAATACATACACAAAATAAAAATACAAAAATAATTAAAATTATTGCTTTTATTGTTGTTTTTGAAGCTTCTGTAATTGAATTAAACTTTCTGCTTCAGCTTGCAAACTTTCTAAAATTTGACTAATTCTTTTCTCGAATTTATTATTGCAATTTTGTTGTTTAATTGAAGGATCAACTTTTGCCGCCTTCTTCTCTCTCATTCGAACAACAAAATTATTTTTATTATTGTTTCCATTTTTATTATTTTCTTCCATACTTGTCCCATCTTTTTCTTCTTCATATTCAATATCTTCTTCTTCATCATCATCTACTTCATCACACTTGGCTAATGGAGCTATTATCGGTTTTTTCTTATTAACGGTAGTATAATTGTTGTTTTCTTCTGTTTGAATTAGATTCTGGTGATCAGAATTATGTAAATATTCAGTTACATAGCCACTTGTATTGGAAGAATACTTAACAAAAAATTCTATAGAAATTTTCTAATAATTTAAAGTTTATAGACCGTCTTTAGGATTTAATAAACCCCAAAATTTAAATTAAAGAATCCCAGACCGACCCTGTCCATATCGAAGCACAAATATTTATTTTCTACCTGTGTACTCGCTGTAGTTGTTGTATCAGAATCTTCCCATTGTCTTAAAATTACAGGTTCATCAAATCCAATTCCAGTACGAGTAGTTAACCCCACCCCCGAGTCGTGGGGGCAGAGGGGGCTGTCAGTTAATCAATCAAAATTAATAGGTGTGAAGTCATTTCACTCCCGGCCCCTTCCCCAATAACCAAAAAGATTTGAGGCTTTTCCTCTCCCACCCATCCCTCTCTAATAAAAGGTACCCAGTCCAATTTAACCAATCTTTTCTTTCCCTCTTCTCCAACCCATCCAACCTTCCAACCAAATCCTTTTGAAGCTTTTTTTCCTTCTCTATTCTTTTCTTTTCTAACCTAAACCTATAGGCAATTTCTCATATTATTTAAATTCTGTCTCCCACAGCGTTTCCCTCTTAATTCATTCTTCAAATAAATCTTTTTGTTTTGAATAATAAAATTTTTATTATTCCCATCCATGCCCTCTCATCCTTTTGTTTTGAATATTACTTTCAATGCATCCCTTCTAGAGTATAATATTTTTCTTCCCTCCCTTCTTATTTTCTTCCCTCTCTTAAAATTTTTTTTATTATTTTATATGGAAATAGGCAAAGAAGCCTATTTTTTGTATATATTTTTTAATAATTTAATTTTTCATTTTTAATATTTTATTTTAATTATTTAAAAATAGGGTCGAAAAATAATTACGGGTCGGGTTTTCAAAATTTCACGGGTATTATTTCTTAATTCCGTATAACTTGTATTAATTGCCCTTCCTCAAATAATTACCCCACTTCCATTAATTACTTCATCCTGCGATAGATTGAAACAATAATTACCCCTATTATTTTCCCTATTTTCTACATTTGTGATATTTTTTCTCTATTATTTTCTCTTCTATTTGTAGGTTTTGTTCCTATTTTGAAAAAATCCCTTCAAAAATCCCTATTACCCTTATTATTTTTTAAAGATTTTTTATATATTTTTAAGTGGATGGGCTGGGTTGAGAAAAAAAGTTGGTTTTTGGGAATAAATTTAATTAAAAAATTTTTTAATTCAAAAATTTAACGGGGTCTATAGTTGTTTTATTTTAATGAATTAGTCTAATTTTTAATTAATTGTTTAATTTTTATTTATTTGGAGGGATATGGGGTGTTGTCGTATTTTGAGGGGTGCTTTTTTGCCTTATGGATTTTTCATATTTTTAATTTCATAATTTCGCTCCACAGTACCTTTTTAAAAATTCACTAAATCACTCAAATTTAGTAGTTAGCGGCTACAGTAGTTAATCTCTGGAGTAAAATTGTTAGTAGTTTAGTAGTTAGTCGTCCGGTAGTGGGGGCTCATGTATTTGTGGGTGCACTCAAAAATGGGTGCCTCTTTTTTTTCACCATCTCAGTCAAAAATTTCGAAGCTAATAAGCCAGATTTTTTCCTATATTCACTTTTGTGTACAACTCTTGTCTAACTCTCTTATTCTATCCTTATGTATACTACTTACATCTCACCATAATTTACACCTCATCACATTCTTTATGTTTTACATCTGGGGAGATATCTATAGTATACCATTTTGGGGCGTTGCACATTTGATCGAAATGTATTTTGGTTAAATGTATTTGTACATTTGACCATTTGATTCCTCGTTTATCTGGGGTATAAAAAGGGGCGATTTATTGAAAAATCTTTCATTATTTCAAAATGTCTGATATAAAATTTCCAAAAATATTACCTGAAGTTGAGTTTAACATCTCAGCTACAGGGATTACAATTTCCAGTGTCCGATATACAACTCCACGGTTTCTTCCTTACGACCAAGGAGGGAAATGTCGTAAGTGCAAGAGCACAGAAGTCGAATTAGATTTTATTATAGTAAAGGAAGGGGTTGTAGTCTATTGCACCCGCTTTGAAGGAAGTCGATTTGTTCCCTTCGATTCTTTATACGATTTACCAGGACATTGTTTCTTTAAAGTAAAGAACAAGGGCCGAGTCTTTAATGTACCATACAATGATACTACTCAGATTCCTTGCCCCAAGACTGAACAAGCTGAACCACAAAGTCCGCCCAAAATACCCGAAGAAGTGACACAGACACCCCAACCCCTGGATAACCTTCCAACAATGGATGAGTTGGATGATTTCTTTCAGAGTTTGGACGCATCAGTTACAGGCATACCAACCGATTAAAATGATATTTAAGTGAAAATTCCGTATATCCATAAATATTCATTATGAATTCATTAGCTTTCTCGAATAAAGATTTAAAATTTAAATTACCTTTTGGGATGATTATATCTGGTCCTAGTTCAAGTGGAAAGAGTACACTGTTATTGAAACTTATTGCAGAATCCGAAGAGTTAGTCCACCCTAAGCCAAAGTCTATACTTTACTGTTTCGGGGAAATGAACAATATTGTACCACTTTTACAAAAATCTGGAGTTGATGTGTTTTCTGGAGTTCCACCTGAAGACCTAATTAAAAAATACCCTAAACCTCTTTTACTAATTCTTGATGATTTGAATCTTACTATTGATGAAAAATATCTATCTGAATTGTTTACCAAAAAATCTCATCATCAAAATTTTTCTATAATTTTTGTTACACAAAATCTTTTCGATAAGAAAATCAAAGTAGCACGACAAAATTCTCAGTACCTTATATTAATGAGGGCACCCAATTCAATGCTATCCATCAGAAATATAGGGGTGCACCTATTTCCAAAACAGTTGGACTATTTTCTAGACTCATATCGGCAGGCAACCAAGCAACCTTATGGTTACTTGCTCATCGATATGCATGCTTCCTCAGATCCTACCCTACGTCTTAGGACTAACATATTTAAGGAAGATGATGAAAAGATAATTTTCTTTCCAAAAAATGGTTAATCAATTAATTTCTGAAAACCTAAAATTTTTACATTTATTGTCAAAGACCAAATCTAGGAGAAAAAGGAAAAGACTCTTAAAATTGTCGAATAGTGAACAACTTTTAGCATTAGCTGAAATTTGTTTGAACATAGTAAAAGAGAGGTTCAAACTTACAACTCGGCAAAAGAAAAGATTATTACCCCATGCAGAATTTGTACGAAGTTTGAGTAGAGTTAGGAGCGAACGGGGAGCCAGACATGTTATTAATCAAAAAGGTGACGGAGTGGGTGTCTTTGCAGCCCTCTTAACACCCGTTCTCATTGAAATGGCTAGGATGCTGACTATAAAAAGCCATGCTAACCCATAATCTAAAATTAAAATTATGGCTAATAAATTTATTCTAGTTCCTGAAGAAATTTACAAAGGTTTGACAACCCAAGATTCAGGGGAACCAAACTTGGATTTTATTCGTCAAGGTTTAGAGAAAACAAAATTGAAACGGGAGACACCTAGTGCAAAAAATGTACACTATAATCAGGAACTTAGGCGATATTTGCAATTAAGAAACGAGCAGCAAAATAGACCGGTTAAGGTGGAGATGGTTGCTAGTCCAAAGGGTGCAATTATGAATACTACAGCCTCCCTTCCGGCTTCAAATATTGGGGAAGACGACGATAATATATGGATTAGTGATGATATGTCCTTTAGTTCGTATCCAAAAGAGACACCATCTTATAACATTATACCACCTATCCTGCCAGACATTAAACCTACAATTACATTGAAACCGAAAAAATCTACTACCTATTACAAACCCCCAAAAAGAAAAAGAGGTGAAGAGGAGATAGGTAGCAATAAAAGAAGACCTTTGATAGATTACGAAATCAAACCAATTAAAAAAGAAGTAGGTGATGATGGTTTTGATGACTATAGAAAGAAGGAAAAGAAAAGACTATATTTAGAAAGGAAGAAGGCTATCAGAGAACAAAAAATTCCTTATACCCCACTATACCATAGGGAGGTTACATATGTTCCACCACCACCACCACCACCACAAGGAACAAAAAGGTTACAGTATATTAATATTGAGGAAGGTAAAAGGAAAAGGATTGATGAGTTAGAGCAGAAAAAGGAAAACCTACGAAAAATAAAAGAGGATCAAAGGCTAGAAAATATTAGGAAAGGGAAAAAGGAAAGGGAATTAAAAAGAAGTGGTATAAGAAAACTAAAAATCCCCCTAGACCAATCAGCAATGTTAAAAGCTAGACAAGAGGATGACATACGAAGGCGTCAAAAGTTAAAACGAAAGTGGCAAGGTCCCGACGAAAGCCCCTTCTTAACGTTAAAGAGAGTCAAACCCGTTACGAAAAAACAATCCGCAAGAGCAAGCAAAGAATGGATGCAGAGGCTTATAAAAGCGAAACGCAAAGCAAGTAACAAATCATTTAAACCTTCATTGTGGTAAAAATGGGTGATTATACTAAACTTTTGCAAGATTTGTACAATAATCCAGAGTCTCCAGCTGCCTTTTCAGGTGTGGATAGACTATGGAAGGAGGCTAGAAAAGTACTAAAACATATACCTAAAAACGTTGTGCAAGATTATTTAGAAGGGCACAGGACTTATACTTTAATGCGACCGAGACGTATTCATTTTAACAGAGCCTTGACAATACCCGCAGGCTTTATGACAGACGTCCAAGTAGATTTGGCTGATTTTCAAGCAATCGCAAGACATAACAAAGGGAATAAATATTTACTTTTAGGAATTGATGTTTTATCTAAGAGAATATTTGGAGTGCCTGTAAAATCAAAAACGGCAGAGAATATGGTAACCGCGTTCACTGAGTTAATAAAACAAATGCCTATGAAACCACATCGTATATTTTCGGATAAGGGAAAGGAATTTAAAAATTCTCAAATGAACGAATTTTTTCAAAATGAGGAAATTTACAAGATGGAACCAACTCACTCCACAGTAAAAGCTGCACTAGCCGAAAGGGCTATTAGACATATCAAACAACGTATTTACCGTTACTTTGCCCAAAATAAGACCTTAGACTGGATTCAAGTCCTCCCTGAAATTTTAGAAGGAATAAATAAAGCAAAAAGTAGGGTGCATGGAATGAGACCTATTGATGTTAATTTTGACAATGCTCAAGAGGTATGGAAGAAGGTATATGGCGATGTTTTTTCAGATAAAAAGACAACCCCAAAACTTAAAAAAGGAGATTATGTTCGAATGAGTCTTGGAAAAGGAGTGTTCGAAAAGGGTTATATTCCAAACTGGGGTGATGAAATACTTCAAGTAGAAAAGGTTAAAGGACATGTTCATCCAATTCGTTACAAAGTCCAAGATGATAAAGGTGAAAAGTTTAAAGGATCATTTTACGGAGAGGAATTAGCTCGCGTTCGTAAGGATGCTGATACTGAATATAGAATAGAAAAGGTTGTAAGAAAGAAAAAGAGACCGGATGGGACATACGATCTTTTAGTAAAGTTTATAGGTTATCCTGAAAGAGAATGGATCCATGAGACCCAACTAGTATAAAAGCTCATTTAATTGTTCATTATTTCATTTTTGATAAAAATGTCAAATACTTTCTTTGTTTTTCTTCCTAGTAATGTTTCCGATTATCCAGATAATCGACCAAATAAATTTCGCGTCCATCTACCTAGACCTCTTTATTTTTCTGGAGACTGGGTATGTGGTTTGCATAGTATAAGTTATCCATATTCATGGCCCTCAACTATTGGTACCCTTGATGAGCAATGGATTGACATCCATTTTACCAAAACTGATGGAAGGGCTAGTATTATTCGTGTACCCGTTCCCAAAGGTTCACACACCACTGTAGAAGATTTACATCGATTTTTATTATCTACCTTAGAACACCAAGTAGGAGCTATAGAAGGATCATCCTTGGAAAAACCCGAGACACTAGTCAAACCTCCAAGTGTCCGCAGACCAAAACGTAGTGTATCCCCTGAAGGAGAACTTAGGATGCCATCTCCTTCATCATCGGCCGAAGAGGAAGAAGGAGAACTTAGAGAACAATCCCCTTCATCCTCTGCAGAAAGGGAAATAGAATCCCGTAGGTCATCTCCTAAACTTGCTAAGATAATCCCACAAAAACCTTCAAAACCTACTCCAGAAACTCCAAAACCTACAACACAACCTCCAGTACCTATTCCAGAAACTCCAAAACCCTCAACTGAACCTCAGAAACCCGCACCTCAACCACCAAAACCCTCTCCTCAACCACCAAAACCCTCAAATGAACCTTCGAAACCCGCACCTCAACCACCAAAACCCTTTCCTCAACCACCAAAACCAACTCCTCAAACACCAAAACCCACTCTACAACCTCCAAAGCCTACAACACCTCAACCTCCGAAACCCTCATTAGAACCTTCAACATCTATTCTAGAAACTCCAAAACCTACACCACAACCCCCAAAACCTTCACCTGAACCTCCAAAACCCTCAACTGAACCTCTGAAACCTGCACCCCAACCACCAAAACCCACCCCTCAACCACCAAAACCCTCTGCTCAACCACCAGAACCAACTCCTCAAACACCAAAACCCTCAACCGAGCCTCCAAAACCCGCACCCCAACCACCAAGACCTTCTCCTCAACCACCAAAACCCGCTCCTCAACCACCAAAACCCGCTCCTCAACCACCAAAACCCTCTCCTCAACCACCAAAACCCTCTCCTCAACCACCGAAACCCTCTCCTCAACCACCAAAACCCGCTCATCAACCACTAAAACCTGCTCCTCAACCACCAAAACCCACTCCACAACCTCCAAAGCCTACAACACCACAACCTCCGAAACCCTCTCCTCAACCACCAAAAGAACTAACTCCTCAAACACCAAAACCCACTCCACAACCAAAGACAATACAACCTTCTTTACCCACTTCTCTTTCTCTAACACAAGATAACGAGGAAGATTTAAGAAACCCATCTCCTTCATCCTCATCTGAAAGACAATCCTTACCCAGTTCACCTACACTTCCACAACTCCCAAAACCTGAAGCTACATTTAATGACCCTTTATGGACTGAAGAATATGAACGAGTACTTACCCATGTACTTGCAAATCTTGGACAGAAGATAACCCCTCAAGCAAGGATAAATTATCTACCAAATATGCCTATACTTGTAAAGAAATATGGTAAAGTAAACAAAGTAGACTCAACTACACAAAAGCAAATTATAGATTCGATAGAATTATTCTATCATAGTGACTTTGAACGTTTCAAAGTCACATTCACACACCCAAGCATAAAATATGTTTCCTTTTCCAATCAATTAGGCTATGTATTAGGCTTTCAAAATCCAAATATGGTATTAAACAATGAAATTGCCAAGTACGGGTGTGATTTACGAGGAGGTTTCTCAAGTTTCGCTGTATATTCCAAAGGACTTACTGAAAGTATGATAATAGGGAATTCACTTAGTTCACTCCTAAGAGTTGTTTCTGTAGCAGGAGCCACCCCAGGACAATATTATGAGAAAATATATGATTCACCAATTTACGCTCGAGTTTTACCAAAAGAAGTTAATGAAATTGAGATTGAACTCAGAACGATGGATAACGGTCGACCTGTACCATTTGAATTCGGTACAGTGCTCCTGGTCCTAATATTTAAGAAGGTGATAAATTTCTGATTTTCATTTACAAATTAAAAATGGTCCACATTTTATTTGATACAAGTACTGTGAGTTATGACGATTTTATTCTTCCAATGAAAGGAGGAGGAATTACTGATGACTATTTTAAAGGTGCAGCTCCCTTTCAGAGAGGTTATGGTCAAAGAGGAGCAGGCATTGGGGATATTATGAGAGGACTTTGGAGATTTTTCCTACCGATTATGCGGCGTGTAGGCACTACTGTCTCAGAAGAGGCGCTAAACACAGGTCAACGTGCATTAGGAAGGGTACTTCAAGGAGAACCTATAAAAGAAGCTCTAGTCAGTGAAGGGAAGAAGGGGATAGATACCGTGCTTGAAAAAGGAGGCTTACCCAAACAATTTGGCTCTGGAAGGGGTATAAAAAGGAAACCAATCCCCAGTCATCAATCAGTTATTAAAAGAAAACGATTAAAATCTGACGCTTTTGGTTTTTATTAAACATGAGTTTTCATAAAATTGATCGCGATAGTATAAATTCTATTACAAATGCTCTTGATTTTTTCCAAGTCCCACCAACAAATGTAAGCATTTCTTCATCCAAAGTTTTTGAAATTTTACCAAGTAATCCTGTTACTGATACACCCATTCATTTTAAGATTCATAGTAGTCAAAATTACATAGACCTGTCAAAAGTTTACCTGTTTACTGAATTTCGTATAAAAAAGGAAAGTGAAGATGGAAAATTGGTCAAACTGGCTTCTACAGATAATGTAGCACCTATACAACTAATAGGTCAGACATTTATAAATAATATGAGAATTACTGTAAATGGAAGGGAAATTTTTAATTCAAACTCACTCTACGCCTACAAGACTTACTTTTCTCACGAATTATCTTATTCGCAAGGGGCAAAAAGTTCTCATCTGAACGCTGCAGGATATTTCTATGACACGGACTTAAAACTTGAGGATGGCTCAGCGTACAATACAAGAAAAAATTTATTTTCTTCGAGTAAAACTGCGCAATTCATTTCAAAGCTTGATGCAGATATATTCAACCAACCTCTCTATCTAATAAATCATTGCGAAATTGATGTTGAAATACTTCCAAATGACATGAAATTTGTATTAATTGCTCCTCCAGTACTTGGGGTTGAACAGCCAATAACTTACAACTTTGAAATTGTAAGTTGTAAATTGTACGTTAAAAAAGTTGATCTGATGGACGGGCTCTCTCTTGATATTGCTAAAAAACTTGAAACTAAACCTGCAAGATATTCAATAAGAAAGACTATGATGAAACCACTTTTCATAAGTCAGGGTAGATATGAATTTAACGCAAATTTGTTCATGGACCAAATTCCCAGAAGAATTACCCTTGGTCTAGTTTCAAACTCGGATTATGTTGGGTCGATAGCCAGAAGTCCTTTTAATTTCCAACATTTTAATGTTAGAGAAATTAGTATTATTGCCAACGGAAGACCATACCCCCAGGCCCCCTATGACTTTGACTATAAAAATGGGAGATATGTAAGGGCATTTCATGATATGAATGAGGCTACAGGTCTGACAAACTCCTCTGAAAATAATGGAATCACTTACCAACAGTTTGGAAAGACTCACTGTATTTACGTTTTCAATTTGACAAACAGTGGGGATGATAATAGTGGGACTTTTGACCTAATAAAAAATGGTACTACAGCCGTAAACATCAAATTCAGTCAACCCGTCCCAGAAGGCGGAGTCATGCTAGTTGTAATGGGTGAGGCGGACTCCCTTATAATGCTAGATAAAAACCGGACAATAGCAAGCGACACTACCATTTGAATAAATGAAAGAAATTTTAGTAACTTTATTTTTACTTCGAATATTTACTCCGTGTGTTGGACTAACTAAAGAAGCTATGGAAGAATTACAAGAGATTCCTGAGTATGCGGAGTATCTTAATAAAATGGGATACCCTAAGAAAAATGTCACACTGCCAAGAGTATCAGCCCCTTCACCTAACTTTGCCACTTTTCCTTTTGAAAACCTTCCTTCGCTATGTAATGAAACCCCAAGGGATATATATGGACATGTGTTTTGTTGGGGTCTGATTTGCCTATATATTATGCTTATAGCAAGTTTAATCATTTACCAACTTCGCTCAATTTTTTGGTTAAAAACTTATAAAAATAATGTACAACACCCAGATAACAGCAATATTGAGGTCAAACCCACAAACCAACCACCTCTTCCAAGGATGCTTCCCGTGTAACAATTTACCCCAGCGCTTTGGTAGGGAAAGTTTTAGTTGTAAACTTGGACCCCCAAGGATATCAGGGTTCCCACTGGATTTCAATTTATGTACAAACAAGTGGACAAGTAGTCTACTTTGATAGTTTAAATTTACCAACAAGCATATGCATTATTGATTCATTTTTAAAAAGTTTTTCTGCTGTTGTTAGGAATTTGAGAGCATACCAGTCTCTCACTTCTGATTGTTGTGCTCACCATTGTATTTCTTTTATTTATTTTCTTTCGAAAGGCTATACTTTCACCCAATATCTTAAAATGTTAGACAAGGTTAATGACCCTGATATATTTGTGCAAAAGATTGTAAATAAAATGATTAATTAGTTTCTGTCTGGGGACGAGTATAAATAGTCGTCGAATTCATTCATTCAAACATTTATAATGTCTGAGGAAAATTCTCGCAAACCTGCTTATTTTGTCTTTGACAAAAATTTATGGAAACTTACCAAACCAAAATATGTACTTCAGTTTTATTTTTGCAAAGAATGTAGGGAAAAACTATTTCATTCGGAAGATAAATTAGTTAGATATGAGAATGGGGTTACTGTAAAGTTCGATTTATGCGAGGATTGTGTTACAAAGAATTGTCGTGTGACCGACATGTGTGTATAAAAGGACAGAATTTTTACCAAAACATTCATTCTTTCAAAATGGTTCTTGTTATCGAGGAAATTGCTCGCTTTTTAGAATGCTCCGTCCGTAGCCTAGCCGGACATTTAGATAATCCTCAAACAAGAGTTTGTGTACTAACAAAATTTTTGGATCGTAAAGTCCGCACAACTTACTTAAACAAGGACTTTGAAAGAAAGACCTTTCGATTTGGAGGTCTTACACAAAAAGGCGCAAATAGAATTCGCGCCTATGGACGCCTACGACGTCCCTATAATGTTAGTATAGCACAGCATTTTTACACTAGACATCGTATACAACTTAAGAACCCGTACCTAAATTGCGTAATCGAACATCGACCTTGGGCTAAGGATCGTTTTTATCCTATCGAGCTATTAGAATTTGTTGATGATGAGATAGAGAAAATTCCTAGCTTGTCATCGGAATTTTCAGATAAGGCAAAATTTTCTCCTCCAGATAGTCCTGAAATTTTTATGGACAAGGAATTTGAAGATGAGATGGAAATTTATAGGGGAGACCTAAGTCAAGATGAATGGTAAAACACGCGCACCCTCGAAACATGTGTGCCTAAAACACACGCACACCCTATACACACGCGTGCACACTGAAAAGGATGAAAATTGACAAATTTCATCTTCTTTTCCTTAATTTTGTAATTTTACCCCTAAAAAGTGCAACTCATTTTATAAAATTCTGAAATCTACTACTTTGTCTCACTAATTATGTAATTTTACCCCTAAAAACTATATCTTCTTTTTCTTAATTTTTTAATATTTAAAAAATTGTATCTTTGTTTTCTTAACAATGCAATTTTACCCCTAAAACTTGTGACTCCTATTGAATAATTTTTGAAAAATTGTATCTTTATAAATTTTATCACGAATAAAATTAATACAATAATATTGTGTAAATTATTAACAATAAGAAAAATTGTTTGAAAAAAATAGTGAAAAATATTGTAAAAAATAGGAGTATGGCTTCGCCATTTGACAGGCATACCCAACTCAACCAGGGAAGTGAGAATTTATACTCAAGTCCACGACTACCGATTTCCAATGTGAGGATTACCTCACAACATTCGATAGTTGGTATAGAGTTGGGTGCCCGTACCCCTGGCTACTTTCCAACATCTATAATTACAATAAAATTCTAGGATGTTTATTATTAATATGACCAAAATTTAGTACAACAAAATCGGAAGGGCGGACAATGCCCTTACCGACATACGGTTTATAAATTTTAGTAAGGGGTTGAGTAATAATTGAACCATCTCTAATAGATGGCCTAAGAAAATTTGGATATTTAATTAAAATCGGTATATTATCAGATTTTGTAAAATCGAAAACTTGTTTCTTAAAATTTTCGTAGCAGAGACCTTGGTTGTTGATCACATCCCAGTTGAGTGTCATTCCTCGGACTTTGAGAACATAGTCCGGCTCAGTATTGGGAGTAGACTTCTTTTGAAGCTTCAGCCCATATTGTTTGACACCCCCAGAACAGTATTCCAAAATATCAAAGTCTGGGTACTCATCAGTAAACTGACCCAGATGAGGCCCTAATTCAAGTGGGCAATTGTTGTCTGGGTGGGAGAAGATTAATGAATCTGTGTCAGTGTAAAGTAACTGACACCCAGGCGTCCTGACAACCTTCTGCATCGCATGTAGAAGGTGGATTCTCGCTGCTGAAGTAGTCCAGAGCGAGATGATGACGTTTGATGAATCATGCTCCTCGACCCAGTCTTTCTTCTTGATGTAGTTGATAAGTATGACATCCTCGGTTAGCTCATCAATTGAATTAATTGTAATAGACGGGTCGTCGCACATTTTAGCCAAATCATTTGGGTCGTCCGTAATTTTACATTGAGAAAGGCCAAAATTACGAAGTGAAAATCGACCCCACAAGTTGTTTAGACACAATTTTGCTTGTGTCCTCTTCCCCTTATTTACCACCATCTTTTCTCTTTCTATATTAATCCCAAACATTTCCAGGCACTCTTTCATAAACTTATCTTCCTTCTCCTTGTCACCCTTGATGGTGTTGTCAAAACCTGAAGAGTGAATTTTTTGGGCCATAAACTCACTAATGTATGGCCTAAAGAGCGTGTCGTCGTAGCTTTTAAATTCCAGCACTCTAAAAAGTTTGGTGACCACATAACCCTCCTTGAGGGCCTCATTTAGCTCAATAGACGTACAAGTGCTAACCCACCCTCTTTGTTGGTCGGTGTGAGGGCAGCAATAATTTTCCTTCACATCACCGTGTGGATGCTCTTTGGCACAAGTAGAGCAAAGAGGGAAAAGTAGTCTTTCATCATCATCCTCCCCAATTTTCATAGGTAGGACGGGGACATCTATACTTCGTGGCGGAATGATGAAAAGTTTGAGAAGAGCAAGTTGATATTTGTTGTCTTCCGGTTTAGTCCAATTGACATCTTTGTTGATGACATGGACTTCAGGGTGTCCAACTGGGTACCTTGTAGATACATTAATAAACGGGTAGAGGGAAGTTACGTCGTAGTAAGAAATTTTCTGACCAGGCTCAATTTTGTGGAAAAGTTTGAGTGGGCCAGTCCTTCCACCGTAGAATGCAGACCTAATATTAATTGGGCCATCATCCAAATAATTTCTAAACATTTTCCGCATTTCGTAATCTTTTGAGACCATATTACGTATTTCACACTCCCAATAAACTTTCACATTCACTCCCAAATTCTTGATAAAATTTAAGCGCTGTTGGTCTTTCTGTCTCTGTTGACCAGCAGTAAGACCTGTTGGGAGTTTAATGTCGTCATCGGGGTAGCACTTAATACATCCGTGCCAACAACACCCATTTACCTCAATAGCCAGTTTCTTTTCCTTGACCCACCCGTCTAATTTATATTTACCCATCTTCTTCTCTCCATTTTCTGAGTGTGCTGTCCTAATGTTGACCATATTCTTTTCAGAGTACCACTTGAGGAAGCGGAGGGCCAACAAACTTTGATTGTCCACATTGTCGTAACCCTTTTCAGGTACAATTCCAACATGTTGTCGTTTGAGGTGATTCATCCTGAAATGCTTCATGCAGGCTGAAGCTATAGTCATGGACTCGCGAAGAACATCAAGTCCATTAGAAACCTCCAAAAATTCTTTTCTGAAGGCAATGAGTGCAGCCATTAAAATATCCACATCGTTGGTACAATAGGCTGCTAGTTGTTCTTCTAAATTGAATGGCTCGTTTTTGTGTTGTTCGAACCATTTGTCGAACTGGGCCCTTTTTTCAGGCATCATCCCATTGGCAAGGTAGTCTTCCTTAGTCGGGAAGATTTCCTTCCCATAATTTTTCGGGTTGTTGGCAAGGTGAGGGAAGAAAGGTTTGTCTTCCACCTGTAGAGCAAATGCCGGTACAAGAGAAGCCAATGGCATAGGCATTAAATTATATGTGTCGTGGAAGATGACCCAACATTTTTTATCATTTTTCACCTTCATTTCATACATTTTATTCCCATTCTTAATCATATCTGGAGTCAGTCCCTGGAGATACAATGCTTTGAAGACAAGGACCATATCAAACCTTCCTCCAAAATGAGAGAAGGCGACTGTATCAGTGGAAAAATTGGTGATCCAAGCTACAAAATCGGTCAGGGGATCATTTGTAACATTCTGTTGATCGACTTGAGTGTTGGAGAATGGTTTGTGGGAGAAGGTTATAGTTCGGTCTTCTCCACAAACAGTACAATCGTTGTTTCCCTTACTATTACACTCGGGGCAATTGATTTTTGCTGAAATAAAATTGACTTCATGAAGTTTCCCCTTTTCGCCTTGCTTATGCTGCATTGTTTCGAAGTCAAAGGCTATGATCCGGTAGGGTTTTGGCTTCCGTGGAGTAAGAGGTTTAATGTAACAACCTCTTTTTGGGTCGTGAAAACTGAAGCAGGTGGTACAGTAGCGTTCGGAGCACACGTGTCCACTACGACCGTTCCGGTTGTTATCCTTTACAATCCAAACCACACCGCATTTTTCACATTTCTTAGAGTTACTGCAAAAGTTAGATTTCAGGTGATGGGTGTAGCATTCTTCATTAATAAATTCCTTAGAGCACCCATTGCAAAGTTTGGAGTAGTTATTCAAAGGTTGACAAGGAAAACCTGGTCCGATCCTGGAGCAGTTTTGACACTTTGCTTTGCAGGATGTAGAATGATATTTTGACCTGTTGTATGTTCTTTCACAGGGGAGGCAATAAGCTTCACCAAATAGATCAGATGCCCTTCTTACCCCATCAAAATGATTATTGTTGTAATAAAGTAAAATAGGGGTATTGTAATTTTCATCCCCATATTTGAAAATAGGCTTTTCATCGAATTCCCCAAAAATAAAAACTTTAAACAGGCCTTCATTCCTTGAATTCCAAAAATCAACCACTTTGGGCACCCATTCCTTTGCATCGTAGGTTGATTGACCAAGAGGTGCTCCCACATTTGCCATTAAATTCTTAGTGTCCTGTTCAAGTCGATGCCTCATTCCAAAACGGCCGTGCATATAGTCATAAAATTTGCTTTTAGACCAGGAACAGATTGAATAAACAAATGAAGCCATTAGGGCATAAAATAGGCAGAAGTTGTCGGAATTATGAATTTTGATGAGATTCTTGTCACTGATCCGACGAGTAGATTTGCCACCTCTTCCATTGATGTTACGTGTAGTTGGGAGATTCTTTTTGTCGATGCACGTGACTGAAACTGAAAAATTTTCACCCCATAACATTCCCTGATCTTGTTTCTTGGATTGGGCCACCTTTAAAAATTGATTAAGAATTGAATCCACCGTGTTGGGAGTAATTTCACGGATTGGGATCCAGATATCAGATTCCAGTAATTGACTGCTCACGGTACAGCCAAGCTGATCAGGGTCGATTTGATTATCCCGGCTGATTTCCAGAGTTTGGTCAATACATTTTTGGAAAAGTTCCCTTAGCAATCCCTCTGGTTGATCGGGTAGACCAGTTATTAAAAATTTAGTAGAAAGTTTTGTAAGGTTAAATTTTCGGGTAATTTTGGTTTCTTCCCCCAAAAGTTTTAAAAAATCACCTCCTCCTGATTGTAGATCAAGTAGACTGTTGATCATGAAATTTTTTGACTTCTTCGTAGGTGGAGGAGTCATTGTTCAAAAATAAAGCTAAAAATATAGAGTATTCAAATAAGCAAATTGTAAGAATTTTTCAAGAATGAAGAAGGAAATCCAAAATCCTTTACTTTTAAGGATCCCCAAAATGATTGATGTTTAGTAGAATTGGAAATTCTCGTACATTTCCTTTTATTTCCAGTCGGGAAGACGAGTTAAGGAAATTTGCATAAAAGGGGAAACAAAGGAATTCCAGGAAAATAAAGAGTGCAAGCAAATGGTGTAATGTTGAAAAGTATTTTTAAAAAGGAAAAAATGTAAAGAAAAGTATTTCGTAATATTTAAAATTTGCATAAAAGTATTTCTATGCATATTTTTAAGTTCCTTCTTTACAATCCTATACTCTATTTGGAGTAAGGAAGGCTGTCAAGAAGGGCAGCTAAAAGAAAATTTGCATAAAGTAAAGACTTAGAGAAAGGAAAAGCTAGGTTTTAGGAAATATAGCAAAATAACATTATTTAGGATTTAGGGGTTAACGACGACGATGGCATTGAATATGTTGATTTTTAGTTAATTTACCTAGGTAAAAATTATTGAGTAATTAATAGAGGGAGGGTAATTATTATTTAATTATTTTAATTTAATTTTTAAATTTATACATATTAATTTCCATTAATTTATTAATTTTTCTTTTCATTCTTCTATTTTTATTTTATATTATTTATTTTTCTCCTTTTTCCTATATTACAGTAATTTTTCCTTTTATTTACACACTTTTTATAATTTTGGAAAGAAAAAGCTTTAAATTTTTGGAGGAAAAATTATTACGCAATCTTTTGGAAAGAAAAGAAAGCTTTTTGCGCGAGGCATTTGCATAATTTGGGGATATCAATAGTTTTTGGTTTGGGAGAGAAAACAAAAGAAAAGCTTCAATAGGTTTAGGTTTGTGGGGTGGATGGGGGAAGAAGAGAGGAAAAGCTTCAACAGCTTTTGGTTGGGAGGGTTGGTGGGGGAAGAGTGGAAAAGAAAAGGTTAATTTTGGGTGGGTACCTTTTATTAGAGAGGGTTGGGTGGGGGAAGCAAAAGCTTCAAAAGCTTTTGGTTATTGGGGAAGGGGCCGGGAGGGAAATGATTTTTTGATTAATTAACTGACAGCCCCCTCTGCCCCCACGACTCGGGGGTGGGGTTAACTACTAGTACGATTAAATTTTACTATTCCATTTGCTGATTTTGATTTCTTTAAATCTTTTTTATTTTCCAAATTTTGTCTTCTAATTGGCGGGGAAGTATAAACAAATATTTGTGGTGATTTTGAAGAAATTGTTGAAGTCTTCGGTTGTTCCTGTTGTTGATTGATAAACTTTTCGTAAGGCGTAAATGCTGAATTCGGACATAATTTTGCTGCGCTTCCATTCGTGTTTTCTGACTTAAAAACAATTTTTTTCATGAGTGAGATAAATCCTAGTTATACCTAGAGATCAGGAATTTTAGAAACCTTGAGCTTGACTTTTGACTTTTGTTGAGGACTTATCCAAATTTTTGACCTTGAGTCAGGGAAAAATCAAGGAACACTGAAAACGGATTTGATCATCCAGGAAAAATTAGGATCCAGATCCAGGCTGATCTCTAGTTCTATCGAAATTTCCCACCTTTTCAACATTTTCTTGTGTTTCAAGCGAAGGGCGTTTCACGATCTCTGCATAAAGGGGTGAATGTGCTCTGTTAGTCTCTTTATTATCAGTAGTATCTTCCTCAATAGCATCAATCTCTTGATTATTCTGATCGTCATTATCCAAAATTCCTACTTGAAGTGATTTACTTGATTCTGAAAAATCTTCATTTTCTTCATTAGAAGGTTTAATTTCTTTCAAATTATCTTCATTAACGCATTTGTTGTCATCAAGAATTTTAATATCTTCATTTTTCTCATATTTTCCAGCATCTACTAAATATTCTCCATCCGATTTTACCTCCTTTTCAATACCCAACTTTTTCTTCTTTTCCTTAACTTTTTTAGTTTCCTCTTCATTACCTCCTTTAATTCTCCTAAAAATAGCAGAAATACTCATTAAATTAATTCCACTTTTATTCTTCTTTTTTAATTCTTCCAAACTTCCATCTTGACTGACATTTTTAGGTGAAAAATGTTCTTTATCCAGTTGCCGATTTTTTGAAGATTCCAATGACAAATTTCTTTCTTTTTTCTTCTTCACTTTCGCATCCTTTTTTGACATCCTACTTGTACAGATATTCATTTCTTTATTATTTTGTTCTGATTTTTCTTCATATATTTCTTCTGATGGTTTTGGTGTATCAGACGGTTTTATCTCAACGCTAGAAGCTTGAAACAATTCCGAAGTAGTTGTTGTATTTGAAATAAAACCAGAATTATCAGAATTGTTTTGTTGAGGCATGAAAGGCAAAACAGAATTTTGTTGAAACTGAGGACAAACACCACCACTAACACTAACACAACTATTTAAATTATTAACAAAACCACTGCAAAAAAGATTATTAGAAGCAAAATTAGCAGTTGTAGATGAACGTGTTGAAGAAGATAATAATGGACTACTCCCAGGAGTATTATAGTTATTAGACCACCACATAAAGTTACTCACTCCTGGCCTGGGAAGTGACATATAAGCCTGTTTTTCAGCTGCTAAACGACCGGAACATGCCGCATCTATTTCCTTGGTGAGACGAGCCAAATCATTGACCTTTTAATTATTTTTTAATTTTTTTTAGAAATCCATTCATTTCAGTTACATTAGTTGCCCATGTATCGCAGAATACCTCCAAGTTCTCTCGGGCAATTCTTGAAGAAGGATGAACACATAAAATCCGGCCAGATAATAATGTCTAAATATAAATTGTTAATCCTTTTAGAAATACCCCCATATAAGTATGTTTGATGGGGATATTTACTCCCCCTTATCAAAAGAATATTTTTACCAAAGGAGCCAATGATCGAAGATTCCTCTCAGCATGTCCAGTAAAAACATGAAGTGCATCAGTAATCGAAATATGATGAAGAAGACGACATACCTAAAATATTAAGCTTAAATTTGGGGATTTTCTACTGAAATACTTCTTGTAAATGTTCAGAATGTATACGAAATTGTTCCAAAAAACGTTCAACACCGTCAATATCACCAGAGATTGAACAAGTTTTTAATGATGATAAAAGGGTCTGATCTTCGTTTTGACGGAATACTGAAGCTATCTGTAACAATATTGAGTTGGAATCCAGAAAATAAGTTCGTGATTCAAAGGACATATTCAGGGCCCTGAAATCGTCTTAGCCCTCCTCCCCTAAATCCGAGGTCTTAGCCACGCTTAAATCCTACCCTCGTTATGGCCTTACTTGATTCTAACCTGTTCTAATGCCACAAGTTGTAATTGTTTACGTAAATCTTTTAATCTTCTATTCAATCTTTCAACAGTTACTTGAATACTTTCATTTCTCAATCTTTCATCATTTCCTATTTCCGATGTCGGAGGATTAACTAAATTTCCCATTTCAAATCTACATTCTTCCAATAAATCCAAAATTTGTTCTCGTTGTTGATTTGGTGTCCAAGAAGAATCAGTAAAGTCTGTGCTCATTTCGCAAAGAGCGCTCAAAGCAGAGATTAAACGTTCTCGGACGCCAGCTCCAATTAAAGACATCATTCGACACATATCCAACTTTAAAAATAAAGGTGACATAATAAAAATGGCTATTCTTATGATTACCATTTCACACAATTGTCTAATTGCAACTGAAGCAGTCAATTGTATTCCAATATCCAGGGGGCCATCCTAATATTTTACAGAATTATTTTTAAATTTAACTTAAAATAACCGTTGCAAGAGATAATTCATCTAATGGAGAGGAATAAGCAGACATTGCATCAAAGGCCATTACACCATCAGTTACACATATGGCTATTAATTGTAATGCAGAACGGATTTGGTGAAAGACACCATCTCGGCATTGCCTTAAAATAATTTGAAGGACCATAAAAAATCTAAAACCAAATATTCTACCTAGCAGCAGGGTCATCAGGATGTCTCAAAAGTGTTTTAGCGGATGTCAATAGAAGCATTGTAAGCCTTTCTAATTGTGCTCTAGCAACTTGCATTTGTGCCTGCCTTTTTTCACTTTTCAGATCTTGTTGTCTATCACCAGAACGATGTGCCAAATCCACCATTTGACCACCAAATTCAGTAAAAATTTGGACAAATTCAGTAAAATTAGAAGTATGCTCTAATTTCGTAAGAGAATAAGCTATTTTATCTTCAGCTCGGAGAATGTGTTTAACAAGTACACGATCAGCCAGGAGTAAAACACTAAAAGTGATAGATTAAGTGATAGACCGCTTTAGGTTAAGTTAAAGATCCTTTTTTAAGTTAAAGATATAGGTGTCTTAATGCTCAAGGATTGAAAAGCTACAATCTTTAACAATATTTAGCCTAATAATTATACAAATTATTTCAAAAAATCAAAAATAAAAACCGTGTAACAGAAGAAAGTAACTGCCTAGCTGATCTAACTAATTGTGTTGTATTAACATTTGGGAATATTGTAGTACCTCCATTTTCTACGGGAAAATTAGAGGAATCGTGCATTGGTTCTGCCAGCATTGAACCATGCAAATTTGCAATAGAAGAACCTTTAGAAAAATTTTAAAATATTTTTAAAGAGTTAAAAACCGGCAATTCTAGCTTCATGACAAGCATCATAAAGCTCTGGTTGAATATCTGGGTTTTCATCTGCAATAGTTTCTCCAACAGCAACAAAGCGTTCAACAGCAGCTTCTACCGCTGTTCCAATCTTTAAAGAGTAAAAAATGTTTCTCACCCCAATTAAATTTAATGCAAACTTTAAGAGCCGCTCGAAGTGCTCTATCTGACTTTGGTCTTCCTCCAGTCAAAATAGTTTCTTTAAAATTAACCAAAGTTGAGATCTTTAAAATTTAATTTTTATTTTCTTCAAAATTAAGTCTAAACCTGTTGAACAAGAGGTAGTAAAGTTTGTTCAACTGAATGGGTTTTTATTTCCAAATTTCGGGGATCAAAACTGGCAGATGTTTGTTGTTTTTGTTGGATAGAAGTAGATGCAACTGGATTTTGCTGGGGAAAGTTGGGTCCGTAAAATGGAGAAATATGCAAGGGAAGACCTTGAAATGATTTTTTTAATTCCCAAAATTTTACTTTAAAACAATTTTTTTTCGATTATTTCAAAATTTTATTAAAAAACCATCATTCGAAGCTGTTGTTTGCTGAGCAATCGATCCATGCTGCGAGGTGGACATAGCGGAAGCGGAGATAGAATGTTGCCGAAGCATAGATGCATTGTTCATTGCGGCGTGTATTAAAGGACAGAGCATAAAAAATATTTTTACATACTATTTATCTTTATGCAGCTGGTAATTAATTTTTTGTTGAGGAATGTTTTTAGAGAATTCAGAAATTGTCTAGAAAAATAAATATTTTTATTGTTTAAATTTTATTTAAAAATTTTGTGATAATTTAATTAGAAAGAGAAAGCTTCAAATGACTTAAAAACATAAAATAGTGTTGTTAATGATTGGCCCAACAACTAGTTTACACTAAAAAGTAGAAGTGTAAAGTAAAAAAGAGTGAAGGTAAAATGGTTGGACAGAGGGAATGGGTCGATTTTGTTGCAACAACCCCTAAATGTACTCTAGAAAAAAATAAATTTAGAGGATGGGTTCCACATTAAAAAATAAAAATTAAAAAATTATATTAGGGATCGAGGCCAATATATGTACATGTGTAGTTTTTGAAAGTATTGTATAAAAATAAAAAAACAACATCTCAATTGCTATACCAATTTTTAAATGGATTTGCATATTATTTTTTAACTTTGTGATTTAAAAAAATGCACACGCTATTGTCTTTTTATTGGATTTTTGAATAATATATTGAAATTTCCAATTTCGTAGGATCAAATTATTACAATTTATAAAAATTACTTGTAAAAAACTAAGAATTGATAATTGTAAAAGTTAGTACAATTTGTAAAAAATAATACACTGCGGTGCATATGTTTATGCACACTAGTTTTTTGTTCATAAGTTTATGCACATTTATTCAAAAAATATGTTCTATATGGCAATCGAAAGCTCTATCTGTATCTCAGTTGACATGTTTCTGCATTTTTCGAAATTCTGATATTTTCGAAAACTTTTCGACCGGTCTAACAGGTACTACATTTTCAACTTTTCGAAGAAATTTTTTTGAGGTCTGTAAAAAATATATGTGATTCTCCTCAAGATTCTACATATAATACAAAAAAATCATCCAAATCGGTCGAGATTCGACCGAGTTATGAATTTTTGAAAATCGAAAAAATACCATATTTTTGCCATTTTTCGTCAAAAAAAAACGCTTTTTTTCGATCTTCAAAAAATCATATCTCCGTTCCGGAAAAAGATATTTCTAAGCAGTTTGTGGTAAATACTCACAAAAATATGCTTTATCAAATGGGTTTGTTAAATTTTTTCCGAAAATTTTTTCCGAGGATATGGGATTTGGTATATCCGGTAGATCCGGATTATCTCGGCCAATTTTCATTTTCATGGAAAATGCAGAAACATGTCAACTGAGATACAAATAGAGCTTTCGATTGGTATATAGAACGTATTTTTTGAATAAAATTGCATAAAATTATGAACAAAAAACTAGTGTGCATAAACATATGCACCGCAGTGTATGTAGGAGTTTTTATTTTGATGAACAGAGTGAATTTTTGTGAACAAAATCCTTGTGTATAAGAGAAAAGCAAACAGAGGCTAGCTAGCATTATAGATCCGCGCAGCGAATAAATTAATTTGTGTGGTGTTTGTTTTGGTATCCCGACGATTAATCAATTTATTTTTTGATTGTTCAGGTATGGTGGAAACAATTAGAGTTAAGAGTAAATTATTGGAAAAAAAATTTGAAAAACAAGATTATATTGAGGCTTTTAGTGATGTTTTTCAATTAATTATAAAATGGTATTTGAGAAATATTGCCTAACTAAAATTTCTCATAGCTTATCTTGATTTATAATCTTACTACTATTATTAATAATAAATATTTCCCATAAAATCGTTCCAAACATTTCTAAAGCTTTATTATTTGGCTTATTTCTTTTCAAAATTTTTTGCTTTCCATCTGTCCCCGATCAATCAAAAAAATAACAGCCAGCCTGCAGCCATTTACATGCTATTTAGTTAAAAGTCAACTCTGACTGATTGTTGACAAAAAACTTTTTAAGCTTTTAATTAGTTCAAGTTGCCTATAGCAATATTTCTCTCAAATAGAAAATTCCCCTCCTCCCTCCTGCTCAAATAATTATTTAATAGCCCTTCACCATTTATTTTTTAGCCAAATCCACGTTATTGATTATCTGCTTTATTTTTCGTCAAATGTTGATTATTTTAAGTAAAGGCTTATGACCGAAAATTTAATTAAATATGTAATACAGCCACTAAATCTGATCGCTATTTTGATTCTTTCTTTGACATGTTTTAAAATAAGTATAAATTATTAAAACATGTGTTGCTAATTACCCTATAGATTACCCTAATAGAATGCCATGGCATCCCCTAACCCAGATATCCTTACAAATCCCCTTACAACCTCACCAAATCCACCGTTCCTCCCTGGAAGAAGAACATTTCTTAGGAATTAGCGGAAAAATTTCAGCATTTTACAAGAGGGTGGCTTTTCCAATCCTCTTCCAAAATGGCATTTTATTAGAGAGGTGCATGGATGACTACGGTATTTTAAAAAGTGAAAATTCAAAATTAAAGTGAGGACAAATAAATATTTTCGTAGAAAGATTGTTTATTTTGAAAGAAGGCTATAATCTTTCTCGCGCTTTAAATCTACTTAAAAATACTTTTAAAATCAAAGTAGATACATATTTAAAATTAAAACTTTTTTTTAATTTCTCAAAGTTTGGAGTGGTAATGCTTTATTGTATTTATATAAATGTTTGCATTCCTTTAATCGACCATTCATCAAATTTTTAGTAATATTTAATAAACGTCATTTCCTTCGTGGAAAATCCTGTCAATTTAACTTATAGATTGTTTCCATTATCGAATTTTTAAAATACATATTTTTTAACATCTAAAAATAAAAAATAAATCTGGCTATTTGCCAAATCTGCATAATTTGTAATTTTAAACGACAACAATAAAACCCACACCTAAATCCCTTGCCATATTTTAATCTAAAAATTACGGCTACATAATTCATTTTTTATTAAACAAAAAATGATCTCAACTTTTACTTGTCTTCTTCTGTCATGGTTAATTAATTTAATCCTACATATTTAAACAAGGATACTTTATTAATATCCCCTACCCTATTTAAGTCTCCTCAAATATCAAATTTTTAACTTGCCTTTTACATAAGTCCCGAGGGGATATTAATAAGGTACCTAAACAAGAATTAAATTTAAAAAATTAATTTATTAGTTTTGTTGATTTGTCGCAACAAAAGTCCCAACATTTGCCAACAGTCCTTTTACCTTCAATTTTTCATTGGGATGCAAGCAATTTTATTTACATCACTCCAACACAGTCGACCTTGAGCGAGAAAGTTGGTTTAAAATTTGATAAAATTCCTAAATTTATTGATCATTTTTAAAATTATTTCAAAAATTTCAACAAAAAATTTCCAGTCTGTGGATATCAATTTACGAGTTGAAGGCGAAAGTATTCATGGAAATAAAACACTGATTTTTAGCGAGACAATTCGTCAGAAGGGTGGGTGATTAATTTACTATAAATATTTTTAAAAAATAATTTTTATAACTAGAGCCCTGAATTTCGTATCGTACCATATTCTGTACCTTAATACAGAACAAAATCGATACCAATACAGTATTCCTTGCCAGATAAATCCCTAGAAATACCGACGGTAGCATGGTAATGTCCGGGCTCTAATTATATGTATCGCAAACTCTAATAATTATAATTTTCTAGAAGGAATACAACAACAATTTAAAATTAATATTCCCAGTCTCGACACATCGAAAAATTTATTTAAAAATTTCTACGTCTCTATAAAGATTGATGGTCATCTTCCTTTTTCTACAGTTTTGGCTGGTGCACCAGAAATAAATCTGATAAATATACAAACAGATAAATTATTTTATAAGCCAAATGAGAGAAGTAAATTTAAGAATTTCTATTTTTCAAATTAATTTATTCATTTAGTTAATATAAGGGCGCTGCCATTGACAAATAATAGGCAGATTTATAAAGGACCTGTTCAATTCCAATTACTGGTTGGTATTCTTTAGTTATCTTTTGAGTGATCAAGTACTTAAGTGATCAAGTACTTCACTCATAATCATTTTTTAACATAAGGCGCCGAAGTATCCCCTCACTAATGAACTCTAAAAATCTGCTCTCTAACGATTAACATAAAAAATTCTTTTAAATTCTGAGGAGTACTACTATAATATTACACGTTATAGTACTTGATCAAATTTAATCTTATCACCGATATAAACCATATTAACTCAAATTTATTTTCAGGATCCAAATGGATTTCGTATTTTCAATAAAACTAACAATGGAAATTTACATTATGATAATGATGACAGTCTAGAATTGGAAGAGAATGATGAAGTTAATAGTTTGTCTGATACTAATGAAAATAAAAGTCAAACTGGCGGATTTCTAAGAGAATATTTTGATTTGCCCAAAGTAAAAAATTTCAGCTTAAAGCTTTAAATTTTGATAAATTTTTAAGTTTCTTCGTTACGGTACTTGGAAAGTGGTAGCCTTTGCTGGAGATTACGAACATGGCTCTTCTAGCCGCTTTCAAACTACAATTCGTGTGGAAGAATATGGCTAGTCAATCTAATTTTTTAACTTGAATTTAAAAAGATTTTTAGAACTCCCAAAGTTTCATGTTTTTATGACTTTGGAACAGGCATCTGATTCGCCATTTTCCTTGAATGTAGATGTATTTGCTAGGTACATTAAAATCAAAAAATAATTTCTAATTTTAATTAATTTTTGTAAATTAGATTCGCCCATGGAATGAAAGTAAAAGGTGAATTAACGCTTCGTTGTCTACCTGTAGATAAAGAAACTTCAAACGAAAATGATGATAAAGAAGCATCTTCATCTGCAAGAAAAATACTTTCAACTCAAGTATATTAGCCTAAAGTAGCCATATTTTAAAAATTCCTTTTAGCTGCTAGAAGGCCATTGGTCAGGCAAACTAGATCTTAAAGTCTGCGGTGTGACAGAAGAAAAACATCAAAAAATTAAATTAGTTGCTGAGGTTACTGAGCGTGGATCTTTTTTGTCAGCGAAAACTGTTAAGGAATCGGATTTGTTTAATCCAGGCTTTGAACTGGTAAATTTCGTAACCAAAACTTAAACCTTTTTTCAGATTCCTTTGAAACCAGCTTTCACTCGAAATACACGTAAAATGCTCATTTATGTACGTTTTTATAAATTTAGGTTAAAATTTAAAGAGATTTTTATTATAATTTATTACAGTTACGTCGCCGTTTTTTAATAGAAGGCGATGCGGAATTAACCACACAATGTATTTCTGAAGAACGCTCATTAAACGGACTTAACCATTCTTTAATTCAACGTTTGGGTACTATTGCTGAGATAGAAATTGACATTAGATGCATAGCTTATATTATTAAGGTATTTATACATATATATATACGCTCTCTGTTATCCCATACTGATATCCCATTTTTATCAGGCCCGGCGTAAACTAATTAATGGAGGCTTTAGCACTTCTGAAACTTTAGTACTTCCTTTACTTGATGGATTTGATAAATTTGATCTTTCATTAATTGAGATAGATCAAAACAAAGTGGAATATGTTGAAGGAGAATTTATTGAAGCAATAGTTCATAATGTTGCTGGGCGAAACTTCAACTATGCGGTAAAGGTTGATGTAAATTTGTTGAAAAGATCAATTTAGCTACTTTGTAACAATGGCCGAGAATTGACTTCTGTTGGTCCTATTAAAGATGGCCGTATCAGAATACAAATAACTGAACAAATGGGTACTGGTGCTTGTGTTCTCTACGTTTACGGTAGCAATGGAAAAAATTCAGAAATGGTTGTGGATATGCACCTTATTTTCAAAAAACCCGGATATTGCCCTAAGGTCAGTTTTCAATTTTTGAATAAAAATTAAAAAATAGCTAATATTTTACTTCCAAAATATAACAAAATGATTTATTTTCTTTTCTCTTTCCCCTCCAACTGATTTAAAAGTCCCCCTCTTTCAATCCTGTTTATTCCTTCAATTTTTTCGTTTTCATCCTCCTCAATCTGCCCGTAAAACAATTCCTGTTTATTGCATTTACTCCAGTCTGTATTTAAAAGTTCTGTCCCAGTCAAAGGATTTTTCCAATATCCAAAACGAGTTAGATAATCAAGCACTTCTTCGCGATATTGAATATTAAATCTATTCAGATTAGATTCATTATTATTATTTTTAAATCTATTTACTCTTCTGGATCTCTTGCTAATACTATTGTTGGTTGTTTTAATGCTTGGGTTAATACCAAGTATTCATAGTTTTCATTTTTGTCTGACGATGACTGTCCAACTTTCACTGGAAAATCTTTTAAAAATTAATTAGCTTCATGTCTGTTATTTATCAAAACAAACATGGGCATGGTTCATTCGCTTGTCCCATTGTGATTAACATAGAGAAAGGGTCTGGACCATATTTTCGACCAATTCCATGCGATATTCTAATTGACCCATCACTTGCGCGGATTGAATGTCTTATCGTTGAAAATGATGCAAAATTAGGACTTTGGTCGAGTAATTTAACTTGGGAATTTTCTTGATTGGTAAACAAGCTTGCTAACTTACATTGTGTTGTAATACAATGGTCCTGTTCAATTCTGGGATCATAAATCATCTTAATAATTTATACATGTCCTTGGGTCCTTTGTTTTATTTGTAAATTAACCGTGTACCATTTCCCTGTCATTTTTTCAACATCCAAATCATCAACAGCAACATATAAATTTCTTTGTAATTTTTCTGCTACCTGGTCAGCATTTACTTGCTTTATCAACTTTTAATTGAATATTATTAACACTGAAGGAAACTTAAAATATGAAAAATTTTTGCCTTATGTAATTTATCCAGTGTAGGAGATGATCGGCAGAGGTTAAGAAAAAGTTCAAATGAACGAATAGCTGGGACACTCCTGCCGGGGACAATAACACCGCCATAATAATTAATAGAAAGTACATCTAGATTGAAAATTTTATTCGTAAAAATTTATTGCCCTACCTTTATCAAGTAAAAACAGCGTAAAAACGAATTTTAATATAGCTGCCGTAATTCTTTCCCAGATTGTTGAAGACATTTTATTATCACGAAACTAAGTTAGCTAAAATTCAGATTAGGTTAGCTTTCTATCGAGAAAACTGTCGTTAATTTTATATTTTCGTAAATGTGGTTAACTGAGATCCAACTGTTTATGTCTATTTATTTTTCCTTTTAAAGCTTTGTATATTTTAATCCTGGGGAGTGATGAGAGTATCTTCTGGAATGAAGGAATAAATGGAATGAATATGCATTTACGTTGATTGTTTTTTTATAGTTGATGATGATCGGGAAAGAGAAGGAATAAATCCTTTTTGTTGCGCGAAATGGATAAAAGGGAATATTTGTATTAAGGGATTTATTAAATAACGACCCAAATTTACTTGAAATTTCTCTCTGAAAAATTTTATTTATTAAAAATCACATGATTTAATATCTTAAAAATTAAATAATAAATTATTAGATTGTAAAATTTAATTATTAAGGATTATGGAATAATTATTCCAACTGAAAACGTGACTGTTGGAGTTCCTATTAACATCACACTGCGATCTCAACCAAATTCTTTAGCTACATTGCATATTTATGGTTTCTTTAAAATAGCCAAAAAATTCTTAAAAAACATTTAGATAGTCGCCTGGATGCATTAATTAAACAAACTGTCTCTTCCACCTCAAATAACCATTTATGGACTTTCTTTGAATTTCTCAACCCGGAACCTGGAGAACATTATTTTGAAAATTTTATTTGGTTTTCTAATGTTTTGGAATTGTCTAAATTATTTGCAAAAAGAAAAGAAATATGCCAGAATGCCGGAAAACTTGCTCCTCAATGTCCGGGTACTGAGCAGATATCAAACGAGCATATACAACCATCTAGTAAAACAAGGATACCAATTTCTGCTTCCAGATTTTCTACTGAATGTTTGCGTGAAATACAGGTGGATTTTGTTAATTGAGAAAGTTTATTGATAATTCGGACAAAATTTAATCGAATAAAATCCACAACTTTTAAAAGAACCGGGAGACTATTTTTTAACCATCCAAGCTAAAAGCAAACGATTTATTTAAAAAATTTATTTATTAGGGAGAATGTGAACGTCAAAAAACAATTCGAGAATCGGCTAATGGATTTTTAACAGAAAAAGGCCAAAATAATCAACAACAAAATGCCTGGCCGATAAAAACCTCTGGAAATGATAATCATCTTATGTGGATGTTAAATAAAAAGTCCTATGTCCAAAATGTTCAGGAAACATCAAATAATGTTGAAATGGATGATTTGAAGGCAACTTGAATTTTTAAAGTTTAATATTAAAAAATAATTTTAAGGCATTAAGAAATGGCAACCAACAAACATCAAATAACGATGATGTTTTGTGGCGCTACTTCTTCCCTGATGTTTGGATGTTTAATGATTTTTATATTGGTCAAACAGGAGAATTGGAATTAAATCTAAAAACACCACTTACAGTAACTGAATGGTTATTTATTCCTAAATTTTGGATAGGTGGACGTAGAGATGTTTGCCATCTGGTTAATACACATGTTTTGTTTGTTCAGAAAGATGGTGAGAAAAAGTTTTAGAAATCTTAAAATAATACTTATCTCTAAATTTACAGTTTTTATGAATGTTGACGTACCTTCACATATTTATGTTAATGAAACTATTTCAGTAAAGGTACTAAATTAATTTTAAGCTGATAATAATTTTATTTTGATTTTCGAATTATTTAAATAATTCAATAGGTAACTATTACGGCAGAAAATCTAAATAAAAATGGAGAGGGCAAAAGAATGGCAGTTTGTTTTAAAGGCCTTTCACCTTCTGTTTGTGGAGATGTTGGGAGAGATGGTGTTGCTGGAGAGATAGATTTTACTCGAATAGAATTAACAGAAGAAAAGCCAGTACAACAAAAACAATTTTTTGTTCGTTTCCTCCGTCCAGGACTTCACAATCTTACTTTTGAGTTGAGAAATGAGGAGGTATTGAAAGGCCATGGTTGGCATTGTCGTGATGGAAATATACATGTTTTTGACCGCATAGTAAAGCAAATAAGTGTAACCAATCGTGTCGATATAGAAGAACATTTTCGCCAAATTGTTGTTTACCAGCGTCAAAGCTTACCCACAAGAACTGTTACACTCGAAGAAGTTTTGGGAGAGAAATTGAGTACGCGTGCAACAACTGATCATTCTTCACAAAATTATTTAACTTTACGTTCAACACAAGATGTTATTAGTTATAGTCAACAACAACCTTTAAAAGTGGATGAAAGTCAACAAGAACAAGACGATGATACAACTATTATTGACACTGAACAAGTTAAGAATCATCTGATTACTCAGGTAGATTACTCTCTGGAAAGGGGAAAACGCTACTCAACGGATCAATGTCTTAAAATTTTCAGATTCAAATAAACCCTGGAGGTCTCAGAATTTTTAGCATTGGAGTAGAATTTTCAAAATTTGTTGCCTCCTTTCCTCCAGCACTTTCTACTGAATTGATAGCTGCCTCTTCACCTCTTTCACTCGATTCTGACCAATTTCTACAGCGTGTGCGTAATCGCTCACCAACAAATTTATTGTCACCTTCAATTGCTGAAAATTTACAAACACGTCGAAAACGTTCAAGAGGCAAAAAAGGAGGAAGAATCCAAAATAAAGAATTGCCTATAAGAAAAATACTGCCTAATATGGCCTTAATTAAAGGAGGAGATTTGGATAATAGTAAAGAGATTGATAGACCTCTTCAAGGTTGAATCCCTCTTTTGCTTTTATTTATTCTTTAAAAACAATTTAAGGCTATTCCCTGCCTAATTTGCTCAAGGAATTGGCTCAGGCGAGTTATGAATTTAAATCTTTACGTGCTTTAATAGCTGGAATAGAAAATAATGGAGGTTCCAAAGAAAGTTTCTGGAATAATCCAATAGAAAAAGAATGGTTAGAACAACGGGAACTCAGATTGGGCAATTTATTATCAGAATTGCTCACTTTTTCTGATTGTCAAGGAAGGAAGTTATGTGCTTTTGGTGAATTTGGGAAGCCGAATAAACCAGAAGAACGCAGTTTGGTTAGTAAATTATCCCTTTGTTTTGATCTTCTTAATCAATTTCTAAGGTTTTAACATCACTAGCAACCTCATTACTTTGTGAACAAAGAACGCCGGATGAATATGTAAAATTACAAAACAGTTAAAAAATATCTTTATTAGATATGTGCTCCAATTCAATTTCTTGCTCAATCCGTTCTAAAAATAATAAATGGAGAAGAAGAAAAAGACGAACTTGTAGCAGGACTTGATGCTTTTGCTCATTTTGTAAATAAATTTAAATTAATATAATGGTCCTTATAAATCCACTAGTTGGTACGGTCTGAACTTCAGTTTTAATTTTAGGAACACTTTATAATTAAATATCTCAGGTGTAATTTAATCAACCACAAAGGCTAGTTAAGCATTTACATGTAAAGTATTTTATTTACTTGTTGCCTTGGGAATACAATGATTACAGTGCCTCGGGGTTTACGATCAAAGTTAGACCCGATTGCCTCTCCACTCGGGGCGTACCACTGTTAAAGTGCAATACAAGGATTTTATCATTTTAGAATGACAAGAAGAGCAAATGGCTATTTCTACATGCACTAATAGTCCAAGTTGTTCTTGATTGTTCAGCATATGCATGTGCAGCAGTAAGTTAATTTTAAATAGAAAAATAATTAAAATTGTTAAAATAATTATTTAATTATATATTTATTATTAATTAATATATAATAAATGAAAAAAAGAAAAAAATAGCCATTAATGAATGATCAGTCTTCTTTGGCCAAGGAAGCATGGATGAAACTGCATAGTTCTTTTTATCGTTCTGTTGATCTGAGTGTAGACTATGATGTGAAGGTAATTGCTGCTCTTGCTTATATGTCTACACCGGCTATAAGGTAATTTTTTGATTGGGAGATTATTTGATTAGAGAATATTTTTAGAAGTGAGATGCGTGCAAAACTTGCCGGTAAAACTGCCAATGATAACCATATTCCATATTGGAGTGTAAATGAGAGTGGTTTTTCAAATAAATCCGTCAAAATGCAAAACTTATTCGAAAGAAGTTTGCAAAAAGTAAATTTATTTGGTCTATTTAATTCAAAAAATATTTTTTAGAGTTCAATTGTTCTTGTAAATGCTTTAGCCTTACTAGCATATACACAAAACCAAAGTATTTATAAATTTTGGAGGAATGAATTTAATTTGGAGGCTTTGAGCAATTGGCTAATTGAGCAACAAGATAATAATAGACAATATGAGAATGCTTTGGTGATTCTTATAAAAATGTTTTAAAACTTTTTCTATCTAGGACACTTTCTTTGCTACTCGTGCATTACATCAATTTGCTGTTGTTAATGCGCAAAGGCAAATGCGTCAAGCTTTGACAGGAACACTTAATGTATTAATATTTATATGCCTATTTATAAAATTAAAATTTTTGTAACTATTACAAATTTAACTAAGGTACATAAGGTCCTTATGTATCAGAGATCTAGCCGACAAAAAATATTAACGCTTTTGGGAAAATGGAATACGGAATTAAAAAACTTAGGGAATTCCTTATTTTCGTGAGTCAGGTCGGCTTTTCCCACTTTAAGAGAATAATAGATGAATAATAATAATTGTGTAGGGAGTAGATACCATATCCATTTGTGCTTATAACGAGAGTAAACCTTATTTAACTTTCTAGGCAAATTTCACTGTATATTCAACATCAACAAATAGTAGCAGATTATTTAAAGATCATGATTTGCCTTTTGGAATATTTGTAGAACCCACAGTTCGTCAAATGGAGCTTAAATCTCGCGGGGATTCACAACTCTTATTAGGCGTTAAAGTTCAAATAGAAAAGAGAAAACGTTCTCGACGTGATCCAAGTGATGGTGAACCAATTGTTTTAAGTTTGGAACAAAAAAGAATACAAGCTGGATTCATAAATCAAACAGTAACAATTCGGTAAATTATCAAAGTTGTAAAATAATTATTTATTTAATAAAGTTGTAATTCACATTTACTCAATTCAATTCAAATCGAACATGGAATATTTACTGGATTCAATACTTATCCACATTTTGTCAATATTCTGGTTTATTTTGAAAATTTTTCTTAGAAATTTAAATTAGGTATTTGATAGAGAGGCTCAGCAAAGTTCCAAGTAGAACCTCGCATTAGTGCTACAGCTGTCTATTTTGTTCTGACTAATTTAATTAAAGAAGTTAATGTTGTTTATACAAGTAAATATTTTTAATAACATATACATCAGGGATGGACCCTGCCATATTTAAAAAAACGGGAGGTGGAATAAAACGGAAGAGTATAAGAATCGGAAGACGAAGGATGGAAGCGTAAGGGCCAAAAAAGCGGAAGGGCCTAGTTAAAATCAACCGATCTCTCTAATATTTTTTCATTTAAGTTGCATTAATAGAACCAAATGGAGGCTATTTACCTGAGAATTTGGCACCTATCTCTATTAGTGCACTGCATCATCGTTTGCAATTTTGATTCAAGTTAAATTAAATTTTTTTTACTAAGATTTATCACTTGCTCAACTTATTGTTTTGCCCCAAGATTTTGACTTTCTTGAAGATTTAACAACGTCATCTAGGAGACGACGTTCAGTATTAACTAATTCTGATGGAGATGTTCTTCCTCCAGCAATATTTCCAGTTGCTACTTCTTTTCTGAGTCCATTGGCAACACCCGAAAAGGATAATGAGGAAATTAATATTTTAAGTGTAAATTTGATTTGTAATACATATTTTACATGTTTAACATAAATCCTTTAAGTCAACAACAAAATCAACGCAACATAGTCAATTTTTAAATTTGATCTCAGAAAAGAGCTATAAGCCTCAATCTGAGGTAAGCTCATTATTTATTTTTGGAGTCAGATTTAATAGAGATCGAAAATTTAAAAAACTTTTACCTTGATTCCTGATTTTGGTGTGGACCTTGGGTCAAGGAAAAATCAACGAATCTAGACTCTGGATCCAGGAAAAATTAATGCCTGGATCCAGATCCAGGCCGATCTCTAATACGGCAATTTTTAATATTTTTTTCTATAGATTGTTGAAACAATTTGCTTGCAAAACGGTGTTTGCACTTGCGCAGAGCTAAGCTGTACAGTTAAATGTTCTTCTTGTGCCAGGTTATTGTCTTTCACAAATATGAAATTCAAGGCATATTTTTTAGGCTTACATTTGGTGAGCTTTGTGAGAATATCAACGCTCCGGAAGGACGTAAATTTGGTGGGTCAATTAGAAATCTTTAACTTAGTTTTTAAGTACGAACCTTTAGGTCTTTCACGTTACTTTGAGCCCTTTGGGTTTTCCCATAATTAACTTTTTTAAATTTTCTTTTCTAACTTCGAATACTTATGTACTCTTTTTTCATTTCTAAAAGTTTTCTACAAACTACCCAATTACTAATTAGATTATTTAATCATTTTAATAAAATAATCATCTTCATACATAAGTATGTACTTACAAATGTATAATTTTTTTTCAATTTTTTATTAAACTATATCTTCTAAAATATAATTTATTTAAGCATTTTTCTTCCTATTCATCAAAAAAATTCCAATATTATTATTTTTAAAAATTTTCTTCCTTAATAAATAAACTACTTTATGTAAAACTGCTAACACGCTTTTCTTTCTTGTTCAACTTTGATTTTATGCTTTTTTAAAAAAATTTTTTTATTAAATATTTCCTTCCTGGTTGTTGGTTATTTTTGCTATAAAAATTAGTTATAAATTTTCCAGAGAAATAATTTTTCCTGAATCTTCTTGAATTCTAGTACCTTCGGGACTTTCTCTTAAATTCTTTACCTCTAATTATATCGTCCAACTGTCTAAATTAATAATAAACGCCTTATTGTCTGATTTATCAATTTTTAATCTTTCACCTTTCTTTTAATTCATTATCAATCTAGTTATCATATTTTTATTTATTTTTTAAAAATATTTTTGTCCGCAATTTTAGTCATTTTTTACTCATTTTTACCTTTTGCACTTGACTTCCCTTTTTTTGAAAAAGTCATACGATCTCTTTACAAGTCAGACAAATAATATATTTATTTATTAAAATAAATATAAATAAATATTTGTACTTTATATAAACACATTTTATTTTAAAAAAAGTCTCGAAAAATAATTCTGAAAAGGGCGGCTGTTGATAACAAATAAGAAATCTTTTTGTTAATACTTGTTGGTTGCTCTTTTTAATTGTTTTTAATCAAAAGGGATTAAATATACTTATACATAATCGGATGTTTTTAAATAAATTAGGTATTAACGATTATTTATCTATTTATGGAGATCACAATAAATTGAAAAAAGAGATTATGTGTAGAAAATAACTGAATATTATTAAAGAAATTTTCCCAGATCCATCATAGCTCCTTTGAATAGAAAAAAGTTGAGGGCATATTATTGAGGTTATATTAAGGCTATTTATTGAGGTTGTATAGAAATTATCCGTCATATGGAAATACAAGATAAATCTCATGTTTAAGGACAAATTCTAAAATAGTTTTTAATATCGTGTCCGTTCTTGCTAAATTTTCGGATATCTGGAACCGAATCGAAAGATCCTCTTTTCTTTAGTTCAGTTTTGAACCGACAACCCTAATCATATCTTTTCGAAATTATTTTTTAACAAAAATAAAATTGACAAATTAACCTTAAAATTTTCAAAAATGGAAGAAATCTGGCTTAAGGACCTCCAAAATTCTCAAAATTATTAAAAAATTATGTAATTCTCAAAATTATTTATTAACTAATTATTATAGTATATTAATTATTTAACAAATAGCTTATTCAAACAATAATTAAATATTTATGTGCTTTTAATCATTTTTCAAATTTTTTTCTTCTTTTTTTAAATGTGTTTTGAAAATGTCAATATCTAGTATTTATGCTTTCAATGTTTAAATACATAATTCTTTTAATAACACTTTAGTGAATCATTTTGTCTTTTAAACAAATATAAAAATTAAAATAAATTAAATTTATTAGATAATTTAGCAGCTTAAAAGTTGCTTTAATTTAAATATGGGATGAGCAACAAAATTTAGAAATTAATTATTGGGAGATGGCATGATTTTTGGGTTGTTGTTGGGTACAAAATAAAAATGCTAAAGTAAAAATGAGTAAAAGATAGAAAATTCTAAAATTAAATGTTCTTTCGACGTTTGATCCTAGGGCCTGCTCAGTCGTCTTTTTCCTTTGGCCATGAGTCCACAATTTTTATTGCGGGGCCGGACTTCGGATAGAGCCCTCCAGAATCAATACTGATCGAATTTTGAAGAGTTTTTGTAGAGTAAAGTGAAGAAAAGTTTTTTCGAAGAGTAGTTTTTTGTTATTCTGAAAAATAAAATTTAAAATTAATTTTTAGTTGATCATTCCTATTTTACCTTTAAAATTAAAGACCAAATATTTTGCTGTCATTTTCTGGGTGCTAAGAGTTTTTTTGTTTTGAATTGAACAAAAAGATAATTTTTAATAAAGTTAAGGATAATTGAAGAATTTTTGTAGATTAAAAATAATTTTGTGAATTCCAGAAGCAGAATCATAAGCAGCGAAGGAAGAAAAATTAATTGACCGGTTTTTGCATCGTTGTTGATTTTGTATTCTCGCAATTTACAAAAAATATTTTGAATTATTGCAATATTTTTTTCTGTTGTGAGTGTTTGCGAGAATGCAAAATTGGTTTTTGTTGTGGTGGTAATTCTAGTTGAGGAAAAATTTTTTTATTTACATAAGAAACTGGAGATCATTTAGTTGTGTAATTCCTTTATTTGCTGGAATTTTTACATCTGATAGAAAATATTTTTTAGTTTGTTAAAATTAAATTAATGAAATGATAAGGAATTAATATTTATATTTTTAATCAGTAAAATTTTTTTTTACAATAATAAGCTAAGGATTAGAGACCATCTCTCTCTAGTAGATGCCCCATGAAGATGATTGAAAAATAGTATACCCTGGTATTCTATTAGAAATTTTACGGTGTATAATTTTAATTAGAAAAGAAATTTCTATAAGTAATAAACTAATGCTGTTGACTTTTAGGCTCTAAATTTTGGAAATAAACTATACATTTTTCCAATAATTTAATAAAATTTTTATTGCCTTTATTTAAAAACGAGAGAAATATATTAATTTAAAATGGTATAAAAATTTAAATTTTGTAAATGTGTATGTATGTGTGTTCTTCTCTTTTGGATTGAGTCTTTTATTTGGCCAAAAATGGGCGGGTCGGTTGTCAGGAATGGAATCGAGAGTAAAGGAGATAAGAGAAAATGAGGGAAAGAAAGAAATGTTTAAAAAACTATTTTATTATTTAAATGACGCAAACTGCAAAACAAGCAATGGACCGACCTGTGACTAACTTGCCACGTTTCTTTACCTTGCGTTTTAGAGAAATTTCAAGAAAATTTTTGATTCTAAATTAAGATTTTATTTTTAAATTAAAATTTTATTTTAAATATTTCTTTGATTTACTTTTAAATTTTTGAAATATTTTATTTATAATTTTTATTGAGTCCATCACTGAAGCATACAAAAAAAAACCTTGAATGCCTATTTCACTGAGGACCTAATCCAGTTAGGTATATCAAGACCATTTTTACTTTTTATTTCTTCACAAGTTTAATCGAAGAACTGGAGAGGTTAATAGGGTAAATATGGATTTGGAGGGATTTCGAGTGATTAAGGAGGGTTGAGGTCGTTTTGAAGGGGCTAAGCAAGAAAGTTTGTTACAACAACGGGGAAGTTGTTGGAAATTCCCTTTATTCTTTCAATACAACTTGAATTTGCATAAACCACAAAAATCCATTCAAGTAAAAAATTTTATTTTCCAAATATAGAAATATTTGGTATTTTAGTTTTTACATAAAAATTTTTATTACCTGCAAAAATATTTTCCATCTATTTTTTATTTATAATTTTAAATTTATTAATTTATTTCTGGTTTATTTGTTCAGTGACTATGTATTTTTCTCCCAATAATTCTCTCAATCCTTCCAAATCTTTTCAAACAATACATAAGACCACAGCAGCTATGCGTGTGTTTATTAAAATTTTTTATAATCATGTAAAGTTCAAAAATATTTTTTATCAGATTTGCTTAAATTTTGTTCTACAAAGCTAATTCGTTCTCTCCAAAAATTTTTTCATTCAAAAATATTTTTTATATTTCATTAATTCTTTAGATACTTCAGAACTCTAGATACAATTTCCTTCCTTATATTCTAGGTTGATTATTCTAGTCGATTGATACTCACGCGACTGATCAATTGAACTTTTTTTTTATATTTATTTGATACTTATTTCGATAGACTTTGTCTAAACTTTCACAATTTAATTCATAAACTTTTAGTTTTCTGACTCATTTCTAAATTTATCTAACGTCATACGACAACATTTTAGAGTTATTTTTAACTCAATTCTTGTCGATTTATTGTTATTCAAATTCTTCTTTTTATTACTTAAACATTTTTGACGTTCAAAACTAAGAACTGTTTGTTATTTACTAAAATTAGTCACATTTTTAAACGTGACTATGTCCGCTTCACTTTTTATATTTCGAGGGCTTTGTATTCATAATTTAATTTTTAGAATGCTTATATAGCTTTTGCATCGAAGTTGAATTCGAAGTTGAGTCATTTTAGCTTTTTTTTTAAATTTTACAAGATTTAGCATTTGACTAAAAAAGCTGACTTATTTGTTAGAGCATAAATTAGAAAATTTCACTTAAATTATAAATTAAGAGCA